CCTTCCTGAGGAAGGACTCAGGGGTGGCTCTGAAAGACTAAAGATTATTAGAGATCCTTCCTAACCCCTTCTAGCATCTAACTCTCACCTCAGGTGTTGGAGTTGCTGTCTCTTCATCACCCCAAAATCAGTTGGTTCCATTCCAGTGGCTCCAATTCACCTTTTTTCCCAATCATCTGTACTCACACTCAGATCTGTCATCCAAAACAGTCAGGTGCAAATGGAATAAGGCATTTTTATAAAACTTCCAGAGACTCATTATGCCACCCACTTTGGCCTGCAAGCACCACTGGGTGGCTCACAAAGCAGTGTGCTCAGCCGAGTGGTGACCAGCTTTCTGATGCAGGGCCATCTCGGTGCAACATGAGAACCCAGGTAGCTAAGCCAGAAGTGAGTTTGAAATCCCTAGGCCCAATCCACTGGCCCGGGGCTGCCATTGGTGAACAGAAAAGCATCATGGCCAAGGAGGAATCCCAAACTTTAAAATAGCAATAGATCATCCTGATCACCAACCAGGAAGTGGCTGAGAGATGATCTCCTTCTGAGCCACATTCAGTGACCAAACTGCCTTACTAAGGTATGTGCACCAGGAGATGGGGGAGCTAGAGTCAAAAATCTATTTGAATTAACTTTGGAAGAGGCCATTTCAATATTCAGGATCAGATGCCCATGAATTGTACCAAGTGTGAAATGTCCATCAAATACCTTGACTATCAGCACTTTATTGAGTAGTGTTTGTTACAATAAGCACACCACTGTTAAGCTGCAAATGGTCCAGAAAGCCAAAAACAGGACACAGATTAGATTCAAGGTCTACAACAGTATGTCTGGAATCTGCTGATCAGGAGGGAAGGGCAATATTGTAGCCTGAAAAAGTATAAACAGCATTGAGGCAAAACGGATACCCCTCAGAGGTCAATGGTCTGATGTAGTCAACTTGCCATGAGCAAGGCGGGGGCAGGTGAATGATGGCTCACCCTATGGGACCCCCTCACTGCAGCACTTTTCACAAGTCTAGCTTACAGGCAGCCTCTGCATCCCATAGTCCTTTACTTTGTGCCAAGCCTGTGATGCTGGATGGGTTGCCGTGTCCAGGATGATGATGAATCCAGGCAGTAATGGCAGCAATGTGGGCAGTGCAGTGTTGGTCAGCAGTGATGCCAGAGAACTGGCCCTTACTGTGCCCATCTATGTCAGTGTGAGACGGACAGTTCAATCAGCAGCTGTGATTTGTTATCACAGTCTGTGGCCCCAAAGAGGGGAGTCTTTAACCTACCAGTCCATAGTTTTCAAACTGCTAGGCCAAGAGCTATAGTCCAGAAGTCAGTAAAAACATAAGAAACTTTATCAAAGGGAATATTGGCCAGGACAGAGGACCAGCCTTGAGTTCTGCACAGTGAGTGGAGCAACTACACCCGTGTTTGGTCCTGCAGAGCTGGCACCAAGGCTGAACAGCGGCAGCAGCTCAGTGGACACCATTGATTTTAAGCCTAGCCAAACAATCCGGGGACCAGGCCCAGGCATTTGGGTAAACTGTGAATTGAGGTCCTCATTGAACCAGCACTTTTGCTTCAGGTGGCAGAACAGGCAATGAAATATCCCCAGAGAGATAACAGCCACTTTTATATGTAAAGCTAAGATGCTGCTGGAGCCAGGTCAGCTGCATTCTTATTATTTTTTTTTTTTTTTGAGACAGAGTCTTACTCTGTTGCCCAGGCTAGAGTGCCATGGTGTCAGCCTAGCTCACAGCAACCTCAAACTACTAGGCTCAAGTGATCCTTCAGCCTCAGCCTCCAGAGCAGCTGGGACCACAGGCATGTGCCACCATGCCCAGCTAATTTTTTCTATATATTTTTAGTTGTTCTGCTAATTTCTTTCTATTTTTAGTAGAGACGGGGTCTCACTCTTGCTCAGGCTGGTCTCGAACTCCAGACCGAGAGCGATCCTCCCACCTCGGCCTCCCAGAGTGCTAGGATTACAGGCGTGAGCCACCACACCCGGCCAGTCAGCTGCATTCTTGAATATGAAATTTCCATTTGACAATGAAGTATGTTTGGCCTCTCCCACCTTGTTTGTGTTGGAGTCCAGTTGACCCACACAAAAATGGGACTATCATGCCAGAGAGTCACAAGGCCTCCATGGGTCAGTTTGGAGAACAGCCAAGTAGCAAACCAATAGCTGCTTTTGAAAAGAGGGATACTTCATAGCCATACCTGGGGGACAAGGAGTCATTTCTCCAAGGAGCACCTCTGGATGGAGGATGCCTCTTTTCATCAGACTCTAGTTGGTTAAATCTCTAGTCACAGAGACTCCGAGCTCAAAGGAGTAATTAGGATTGTTGGGCTCCAAAGGCACTAATATTTCCCTGTATGCATCTCTTCCCAGTCAGTAGAATCACATAATCATTCAAAGGCCAGGCATGTAAAACATCAACATCAATTATACATTTATCAGTAGAAGCTGCAACACTAGTACACTAAGTAGGCCCAGTGGGCCCCATACAACAGGGTCACATTAACTTCCTTTCTCCACTGCAAAACTGCCCACACCCCATCAGTTGAATTCGGGTGCCCTCTCCTTCCAAGGCACTGGGAAGGATAGTGCCTTGGGTGGCAATCCAACAGAGCCAGAGGTTTGAATCCCTCCCCTCTGTGCAGTGTCCCAGCACACGCAAGCAGGTGCATACTGGGTCCCATCACTCTTAACCATCTTTCTCCTTAATGAGGGTGAGGTCAAGGTAAGAGGGGAGGAAGTGGCCAAGGGCACCGAAGGAGAAAGCAGGTCTCTTTGAGGAAATTGAGGCTTTGCATTCAATTTCAGTTTCAAGTGGCCACTCACTTGTGGCTCATGTGAATGAGCATCCAAGGTTCTCAGACCGCCCGAAGGTCTGTGTTGAATAGCATGTTCCTTACTGATGACACTATTTACTTCAGCTTTGGGGACTCTTTGGCTTAGCAGCCATAGCCACACTACCCTTAGTCCAGGAGTGTGAAGCCTATTGTCCCATTGTCATAAAATGCCATCTTCCACCTGCCCACAGCACAGTAACAACCAAGGTACCATTTAGGTAGCTTATTTCCATCCTACTTCTCAGTGCACAGCCCCTAATTAACAAGTAGGATGTTGGAGGATCTTACTCCCCTAACACACCCAATACTTAGGCAAAAACATTTACTGTTGGATCCTCGGGAGTTGTCTCATCCTCAAATCTGGCTTGTGAGGCCATTATCCTTCCTCTTCCAGAAGACCATGTCTGTCAGCACCCCTTCCTCATCACCAAAACTATCAAAACCTGAAGGGTCTGAAATTTTACTGTACTTGCAAGCTAACAAGTTAGCCTGACCCAGTTTTGTAGATACTGGCAGAAAACGAGATCCTGGGGTCAGAAGCAAAGGAATTTATTACTCAGAACAGCCAAAGTATCAACATTTTCTTATTCTAGTTCCCAAGCCTGGTTCCCACAGAGCAATGCAGAGAGGCTGAGGTGCTATCTGTATATGCAGAGGGTCGCATTGCAAGAGAGGAGTCCTAAGCACAGGGAACTCAAGTCTTTTATAATGCCCTTCACTCCAGAAGGAGACACTTTCCATTTTCTAAGGCTCTAAGCACATCTGCCCTTTGTTCTGGGGGGAGACACTATCTTTTCTATCTCTATCATACAAACATCAATGGAAAATATTCTAGAATTAAGGCAGTCAGTGCATCTGCTGGCAAGATAGACAGAAATACAAGTATTCCATGGAGAATTGTGTAATAAATACCTTATTTTAAACAAATAAAGTGAAAATGATCTCCCCACTTGTTATTCACTAACATACAGATGAGACGCTTGCACCACTTGTTAAGAACATACTCCCTCATCACCTCTCAATGGATGTGCTCCTATTTCTTCTCTTTCTGACTCTCCTCAAGATTTCCTGTAATATAAAAACAATGGGAAAAAAAATGACTTCCTATAAGGCTAAACTTATCTTCTGTGTATCTCACAGGCCAGTGTTCATAACAATCATCAGCTACACAACAGCAATTTAATGGATTTCAGCAAAGAGTGAGGACGAATCAATGATTTCTGAGGGCCAGGATAGGTAATCTGGATACGCATCTAAACTGGTGATTCTCAAATTTTCCTGTCTTCAACTCACTAGGGAGATATTAGACATTCATGTGTCAGTGACTCTGTATGGGGGACAATCGAGAAAAGCCAAATCTGGGCATTAATTTAAAAAAATCCTAAGTAAAATGCTCATATTCGTTATTTTGCTTCAGATAATACAAATATAGCTCAGGTATAACCACACTAATTTTTGAAATATATTATCCTTACTATTCCTATCTAATTGTGATGATATAAACTTTTTTGTTGTTGTTGTTTTTTGAGACAGAGTCTGGTTCTATTGCCCAGGCTAGAGTGTTGTGGCATCAGCCTAGCTCACAGCAACCTCAAACTTCTGGGCTCAAGCAATCTTCCTGCCTCAGCCTCCCGAGCAGCTGGGTCATGCACCACCATGCCCAGCTAATTTTTTCTATATATATTTTTAGTTGTCCAGATCATTTCTTTCTATTTTTAGTAGAGACGGGGGTCTCGCTCTTGCTCAGGCTGGTATCGAACTCCTGACCTTGAGCGATTCTCCCACCTCAGCTTCCCAGAGTGCTAGGATTACAGGCGTGAGCCACCACGCCCAGCCTAAACTGACTCTTTAAAAATATAAAAGTTTTATATATTACTTCTTCAGACCTCTGGACTAAAAAATACTTCAAAAGCCTAGTCCTTAACGTTTAGGGCCAAAAATACCTAAATTTTTAAAAATTAGCAAAACTTGTTCTGGCAGGCATGTTAAAATATATAATGCCTATTTTTTTTTTTAATTAGCAATACTTTTGTGTTGAGAGACATGTTCAGATATACTTACGGCGCATCTGGTTCCCCGCAGCAATCAATTCAGAAATACAAATACTAGGTCATATTTAACCATCTAGGAAAGATATACTGCTACATCAGCTGATTTTTTTTCTCTTTGAATTTAATGAATTTACATCAAAAAATTAGGTAGTCATTTTACATTTAAGGAATAAAAATCTTAAAAAAAATACAAAGAGTGAAAGGATTTTAACCACGTTTATACTTCTTTTTGCTATAATTTAATAACAATTCATCTCATCATAACTTATTGCAATATGCAAATGCATTTGCAGCACCTATTACAATCACTGAAACTAAACTTAAGGAAATACACTGCTACCAGTGGCCCTCGGGAAAACTGATTTACCTTCTATTAAAACTCTATGGTATATAAGCATTACATAATAATGCTACCTTTTGTCACAAGAATCACCACCAAAGTTTTCTGGAAATAAGTCCACATAAGAATTAAATATTTAAAAGGTGAAATGTTCCTTATTTTAACTTTAGCAAGGTCCTCTCTTATTCATTGTTAAGAAACACTTTAATAGTTTTAAAGCAAAAGCTGTTAGAGTCTAGATAGCTAAAACTGTACTCCTGAGTTCAAGCTTACAGGTAAGTCTTTTGTAAGTAGGTCTCAATAAAATGTCCTCCCTCCCCATCCCCCTGCCCCAAATCTTGTAGTTTCTTACAAAACTTTGGTCAAGAGTAGAAATATATCCAGGCAGATGTATATGCCATACAATAGCAAGAACAGTAGAGCCCAACTAATGACTTTGGGTTTTAAAAATAGAAGGCAATTAAAATGTACTCAAAGTTACATTAAGAAAAGCTTTCACGGGGTAATATTGAAACAGTCACAAAGGTTAAGAAAATACTGATATCAAAGTACAAATGACTACAATGTTAAAATAGACAAAAACTACTATACAAGAGCCTCTTCTAAAATTAAAAATAAAGAACACAACACATGAGTCAGGATGATTTTCCTGTTCTACTCATGAATTTTAGTCTTTATAGGGTTGGTGATGTTGACATCTAGAAGAGGTCTCATCTGATGAAGTCTCATTCCAGCTTCATAGGGTGGGTCTTCCACGAGGAACCTCCGGATCCTGGTCGCGTCTTGGTCACTGTACAATTTCAAAGTAGTGCAATATCGCCATGATGTGCTGGGGCATGAAGACATATCCTGTGTACAGTGCCATCCCCATAATGGAAACCAGCATGGAATCTGAGTTGTAGTTAAGGAAACTTTTTATTTTTCCTAATTTGTTCAAAACTAAGTCCCCCAAATTTTTTTTCACTGTTTTATATTGAAGTAACCATTCACTTAGTGCTTTCTCATATACATGAAATATTTATAAAGAACTAATAACAAGAACCATAATGCTAGCCACTGACAGCTCATTTATCTTTACCATGATTGTACAAGGTAGGTACTGTTATCTTTTTAGCTGAAAATATCAGACTGCTTAGAATTAAGCACAGAAAGTGACACTGTTCAACCTAAGAAATAAATATATAGGAATAAAATTGTATTTAATGACTGTAAAAGGTCTACCAACTTAAGTAATAAGAATGTATGATCCAAGAACTTCAGAATTAGACTAAAATATGGCTAAAAGTATTGACTTTAGAATCAAACAAAGCCAAAATCAATCATATACTAGCTTACTGATATATAAAGTTACAGCACTTGCTACTATCAACATTTATTATTAGCGCTATTAGACATTATTATGACTATCCACTACTACTTGCAACAACTTCAAATAACAGTCATTCAGATAACCTAAATAAAAATGAGTCTGTACTGTGTTCCTTTCTTCTCATTATAAAATGAACTGAAACTGAAACAAGAGGCCTCTCTCTAGGGCCACACAAATTACTGCTAACAAAAATTATGTCAAATCTAATTTGATTTTGTCAAATCAAAACCTTTCTGTTTTTCAGACTCACAGAGCCATGCTAAAAGGAATAATTGCTTCTGAACTGGGGCCATGTTTTATTAATTCATACATTCATATCCTCATCATTCTCTCTCTCCTTTTCTTCTTTTTTTTTTTTTTTTGAGACAGAGTCTCGCTTTGTTGCACAGGCTAGAGTGAGTGCCGGTGGCGTCAGCTAGGCTCACCAGCAACCTCAACTCCAGCTCAAGCAATCTGCTGCCTTCAGCCTCCAAGTAGCTGGGACTACAGGCAATGCGCCACCACGCCGCGCTAATTTCTATATATATATATTAGTTGGGCCAATTAATTTCTTCATTTATAGTAGAGACGGGGTCTTGCTCTTGCTCAGGCTGGTTTTGACTCCTGACTGACATCGCCCCTCGGCCTCCCAGAGTGCTAGGATTACAGGCTTGAGCCACCGCGCCCGGCCTCCTTTTCTTCTTTTCCTCTCCCTTCCCCTCTCTCTCATACCTTTGAGTTCTATATATTAGTATTTCTATAATAACTTATATTCTTTTATAAGAAGATAGGGTTTAAATAAACTATGTGTTTATTATCAACTAATATTTGTATAACTGTGTAGATGAAAAATCTTTCACATAACATTAGCTTAGTTAACACAGCTTTCCAAATGTTTTTACGTTTATTACTCATCAGAAGCTGAGAAAACACTGACTTTTCTAGGACCATATAGGAAGCTGTCTTTAGAGCGAGAGGTTAAACCAAGGCTGCCTGACTCAAAACCTAAATTCATTCCTCTCATCTAGCAGATAGCAGCGAAAAGACTCCCATAATTATTTTTTTTATTTACTTTTTAACCTCCCCTAATCCAGTTCTTCCTCAAACTACCACCTTCTATTTACTACCTAAATTTTTTATAAAAAAAAAAAAAAAAGGATACACTTGCTACTTCCATATCATTGCCTAAATGTGTTCATTACCAACACAAGCATGTCACTTCTACCCCTCCAGGATGTAGACATTGTTCAAAGGTGACTGGTGGGCTGGGCGAGGTGGCTCACACCTGTAATCCTAGCACTCTGGAAGCAGGCAGGCAGATTGCTTGAGGTCAGGAGTTCGAAACCTGCCTGAGCAAGAGTGAGACCCCATCTCTACTATAAATAGAAAGAAAGTAATTGGCAAACTAATATATATAGAAAAAATTAGCTGGGCATGGTGGCACATGCCTGTAGTCCCAGCTACTCGGGAGGCTGAGGCAGGAGGATTGCTTGAGCCCAAGAGTTTGAGGTTGCTGTGAGTTAGGCTGACACTCACTCTGGCCTGGGCAACAAAGCGAGACTCTGGCTCAAAACAAAACAAAAAACAAAAAAAAGAAAAACAAAGGTCACTGTGACCCTATCAAATCAAAGGGCTATTTGAATTGACACTGTTCTTGTTCTTCCTCTTCAAACCCCTTTCTACCCAGGGCTGAGATGCTTCTCTAGGGCTCTCCATCTCTCTCACCATTTCCCTGGTTTTCACTGACTCCTTCTCCGTCTTTCTTATGTGCAAGATGCAGAGTGAACTTTGTGCTTGTCTTCCACACATCCACTCCAACCCTCATCCTAGTATAGCAGCCATGCTCTTTTGGTCGGCCTAACCCTATCCCATCTCCAGGGATAGGGTATCCCTTCTCTTGGTAACAATGCCCTCCCTCAAAACTGATCAACCAGCTCAAAACTTAAGACTTCCTCCAGGAATTCAGTAACACAGACGTTCTCTCTCCTTCTAGAATATGCAATTTGCTGATGGAATCCTGCAATCGCTGGAGTCACTTTTCCTCAATGAGGAAAGCAAGACTCAAAACAAAGCTGATACACAAAGGTAGAAGGACAAAATAACCACAGAAAAATGGAGCCAGAATCCTGATCCAACCACCCTGAAGCCCACCCTACCACTGGATTTTCACATACAAGCCAATAAATCCCCTTTATTCTTAAACCAGTTTGTTAGATTTTCTTTGTTACTTGCAGCTGAAAGCATTCTAAATGATAGAATAGAGTTCTCAATATTTTTGTCTTAGGCCCTATACCAAGTACAGGTTGAGTATCCCTTACCTGAAATTCTTGGAACCAGAAGCGTTTCAAATTACAGATTATTTTGGATTTTGGAATATTTGCATTATACTTACCAGTTGAGCATCCCTAATCTGAACTCCAAAATGCTCCAATAAGCATTTCCTTTGAGTGTTATGTCATTGTTCAAAAAGTTTCCGGGTCAGGCACAGTGGCTCAAACCTGTAATCCTAGCACTCTGGGAGGCCAAGGCAGAAGGACCATCTGAGAGCTCAGGAGTTTGAGACCAACCTGAGCAAGAGCAAGAACCCATCTCTACAAAAAATAGAAAAATTGGCCAGGCATGGTGCGTGCCTGCAGCATGGTTATGTCCCAGCTGCTCAGGAGGCTGAGGCAGGAAGATGGCTTGAGCCCTGGAGGCCAAGGTTGCAGTGAGTTATGACAATGCCACTGCACTCTGTCCTGGACAACAGAGTGAGACCCTGTGTCCAAAAAAAGAGTTTTGGATCATGGAGCATTTTGGATTTCAGGCTTTCAGATTAGGAATGCTCAACCTGTACCTTAAGGTTGTTGACCTGACCACCTTCCATATTGCAGATATTTCCAACTCTTTGCTTAACATTTCCACCTATGACATTCTAAAAGATACCTAAGATTCGATGTAACCAAAATTGAATTCCTTAACCTTCTCCATAAACTATTTCTTTTTATGTTTCCTAGTTTTTCAATTAATGTAACTATTTACCTAATCATCTAGTCTGGAAGTATCTTTGATTCCTTCTCCCCACATTCAAATTAGGACTTCTCAATTCTTCCCTAACACCTACAAATGACTATGAAGTCTCACCTTCCCTACCCTAATCAATGATAATTGATTAAGGCCTTTATCATTCCTTACTTAGACCATGTAAACATTCCCATTTTAGGCCTCTTGCCACTTTCCATTCCCTTCTTTTCTAGAATGATCCTTTGAAAATGCATTCCGGAGGATAGCATTTAGATTTCTAAAGCAAGTATTCAAGGACCTTTCCCGTCTAGCCCAGGTATCTGTCTTAGGTAGGAGTCCACAGAAACAGACAGGGATTGAGAGACTGGAACAGGGATTCTTGTACAAGCTATTTCTTGAGGGAGTTTTACCAGAAGGGGAGTGAGTAGAGTGGAATAGAGCAGGGGAAATAAGCTGAGCAGAGTCAGGGTCTCAGCTCCCACAGGGCACTCTGGAGCATGAATTGTACCATTCAGTTGGTGTTGTCTTGAGACAGGAGGCCTGACCTTTGGTATCCCCTTATCTGTCAATCACTGGCTGCAGGATGGGGTAAGGAAAATCCACCTGAGCAAGACAGCTGTTGGCAGGGGGCAATACACTGGAGAAGGGACAGGTGTAAAGCATTAGCAGGTAACACTCACAGCACATGGGGGATAGGTACATCAGCTGGTAAAGGTGATCCAGGTAGGGACCTGGACAACTATCATGCTACTTTTCCTCTGTACTTCCCAACACCCTAGACCTTCCCCCAATATACACACACACTATTCGCAGCCATGTACATGAGACTCAGGAAACAACATTATATATTTTCAGACTGCTGTGACTTTGTTTATTGTTTAATAATAATATGATTAAAAATAAAAGTATTAGCACCAGCTTTTATTTTGTGAATGTCTAGCATATGCCTGAGACTGTGCTAAGCATTTAAGTTCAGCAACAGAGTAAGCAATGGAGCCAGTTCCAAACCAAATCAGTCGAACTCCAAATATCTGTGTTCTTAACCACTATACTATAATACCTTCCTATGTGTGAAAAGTCTTCTAGTAAAACCTAATAATCTTTAGGGCTCAGTTAGTTATCCCTCTTATGTTAGGTCTTCCCTAGCAGTCATATTTTTCCCACTCTTACCCCAGCCTCCAGGCAGAACTAATTGCTCCCTGATGCTAATAACGCTCTGTATTCATATAATATAGCATTTATCACCTGACATTACCTATTTGTAGATGTATTTATGTCTCACCCAAATTACCAACTCCTTTAGCACAGGAACAATGTCTTACTATTTTTGTATCTCCAGCATCTAAAATAACACATGTTCAATAAATATTTGATGAATAAAGAAATTTCTCAAGAAGCATTCATTGGACTCTAGATTCACAATGATGCTTTCTACATATTCCACACATTGTAGCTGACAAACCTGATCACGACTACAGAAAAGACAAAATCGGTTTCTAGGCAATATTATACTTAAGAACATTTTTTAGCTTATTACAGC